AGGTTAATTCAAACTAATGTCGGTTTAATACTATAATCTTTCCGTTTCCCGATCTTCATCTTAAGGTTAATTCTAATTAATATCCGTTTAATCTCAACGTCATTTCTACTATAATGGTGAATAGCTCCAGAGTAGACACACATCACTTTGAATACATCTCAATTTATCATTGTAGACATCATTGTTAGCTCAAATTATTTGTTTATTTTTTAAAAATAGGGATTATTCTTATGAACTTTGCCTTTTTATTTGACTGTAGCAACAAACTTTATCAATTTCCTTTTATTCAAATAAATTTGTGATTTGTACTCTCTCCGTTCCAGAAAATTCTTCCCACTTTGACTTGACACGAAGATTAAGAAAGTTAAATAAAATGGAAATGTGTGGTTGAGGTTGTGTAAGAAAAAAGTGAAATGAATGTGAACCACACAAATTGTCCGAAAATAATAAGTGGGAAGAATTTTTTGGGACGGTCCAAAAAAGAAAGTGGAAAGAATTTTATGGGACGGAGGGAGTATAATTTATTTCCATCACCAAAATGATCCATAACGTACACGTACCGAGTATTACTCACCTCAAAGAACTTTGAGACATACTCCGTAAGTGTGAAAAAATCTTGGGACATGTTTGGCAACCGATATTTACATTAACTCTTTAAAGTTAGCTGTTTTGAATACCGAGTAGTTTTTACTTTTAGCTGATTATTATGCACGTATGCCTGGTAACAAGTACGAAGAATTTTTGGGACGGTCCAAAAAGGAAAGTGGAGAGAATTTTAAGTTAATTCCCGGCTTTAAATACTTGTCAAGTACTACGTCCTTTCCAAATTGTTTTGCAAAATCAAATTTTTTTTGGTCAACTAATCTTAAAGTTGAATTCTCCTTATTGATAATTAATTCAATTTTAATAATTAAAATTTACATATTCAAAAACTACACTAAAATCTCTATAATATTGCAAAATCTAAATTAAAATTTAATTAAGAGTTGATAGCTTAATTAAGTGAATAAAATGAGGCTTTTTAACCCTAAAAGTCAATTTTTTTGCAATTCAATTTGAAACAGAGGGAGTAAGATTTTCGAAGAGTCGAAGTTTTTTTTAACGATTCAACACCAAACATTGAAATTAAATCTTTGGCATAAATGGTATCCCTTTGTGTTATTTTTTCACACCGAATATCTTTAAAACAATTAAACACTATATTATGATCTGAATTCTTCCTCCTATCAAGTTGACCTTTTAGGATGAAACTGGCACAGTACCCGTGCATACGCACGGGAAAAAACGGTTGATCTACATATACTTTTATTCATGATCTCATTAAATATAAAAATAGATTTTTTTTCTTACAATTTACTTCATTTCAAAAATGGAGTATGATAAGTGAATATAAAAAAGCATAAATCCATACAACAAATATTTAAAGTAAAAGAAAATTAAAATATAAAAAAAATCGACATCATCCATTAAAATTTACTACGTAATAATAATTAGTGATGTTGGTAACAGAGTGAAATATTGAACTTAATTGTTTGAATTTTGGAAAACTACCTTAAGAGAACTTATAGTAGTAATGACTTGTGATTTTCTTTTCTTATCATGTACCTAATATTAAAACCATTAATCCATATCTCATAATGCCACACATAAATTTTACATGACTAAAATACGTCTAGGTAGGAATATTTTATCTTTTTGTAGTGGTAGAGGTTGATATTTATTGATTGTCATAACATTGGTGATAATTATAGAAAAATATCTTCTCATAAGTTTAAAAGGTCATGAGAGAAAAAATATGAGATGAAATTATCTCGATCAATTATTATTCTGTTCATCTTATCTTATTATTATACCTAAAAGTGTTACATATGAGAGAGAGAATTTTCTCGCTCAATTGTTTAAGTCGGCTTATTATATACCTATACTTCTCATACCTAATCTTCTTTATTTATTTATTTATACCTAAAAGCATTACGTATGAGATAGAAAATTTTCCCGCTCAATTGTTTTAGCCGGCTTATCTTATAATTAAAAGCACTATGTATGAGAGAGAAAATTCATCCGCTCAATTTTTAGCCGGCTTGTGAGCTTATCTTATAATCAAAACCACTTCTACTTCTACGTATGAGAGAGAAAATTCTCCCATTCAAGTTTTAGCCGGTTTATCTTCTTTATGCCTAAAATCAATTTGTATGAGAGAGAAAATTCTCCCGCTCAATTGTTTTAGCCGAATTATCTCATACTTAATATAAAAGCACTACGTATGAGAGAGAAACATCTCCCGTTGAATTGTTAGTCTTCTTATCTTATCTTATACCTAAAAGTATAACATATGAGACTGAAAATTCTACTGCTCAAGTTTTAGCCGGCTTATCTTCTTTGACCTAAAAGCACTACGTATGAGAGAGAAAATTATCCCGCTCAATTATTAGTCCATTTATCTTGTTATACCTAAACACACTACATACGAGAGAAAAAAATCTCCTGCTCAATTATTAGTCCGCTTAATTATCTTATATACCTAAAACACTACGTATGAGATAAAAAAATTTCATGCTCAATTATTAGTCCGTTTATCTTCTTATACCTAAAAGCACTATATATGAGAGAGAAAATTCTCCCGTTCAATTGTTAGTCCGCTTATATTATACCTAAAGCACTATATATGAGTGAGAAAATTATTCTTAAAAGCACTGCATATGAGTGAGAAAAATATTATTAGTCCGGATTATTTGCAAGCTTATCTTCTTTTTATTATTATACCTAAAATCACTAAATATGAGTGAGAAAAATATTTCGCTCAATTGTTAGTCAACTTATCTTATATTTAAAAGCACTACATGTCTTCTGATACTAATACCTAAAACACTACATATGAGAGAGAAAATTTTTCCGCTCAATTGTTAGTCGGATTATCTTCTTATACCTAAAAACACTACATACGAGAGAGAAAATTCTTTCTTTCAATTGTTAGCCGACTTATCTTATATTAAAAAGAACTACATGTGAGAGAGAAAGCTTTCACGCACAACTATTAGCAAGCTTATCTTGTAAGACCTAAAAGTACTACGTATGAGAGAAAAATTTCCCCGCTCAATTGTTAATCAACTTATCTTCTTATACCTAAAAGCACTACATATGAGAGGGAAAGTTCTTCCGCTCAATTGTTAGCCGACTTATCTTATACTTAAAAGAACTATTTATGAGAGATCAAGTTTTCCCACTCAATTGTTAGCAATCTTATATTCTGATACCTAAAAGCGCTAAATGTGAGAAAGAAAATTTTACCGTTTAATTGTTAGTCGAATTATCTTACCTAAAAGCACTACATATAAGAGAGAAAGTTCTTTCGCTCAATTGTTTACCGACTTATCTTATACTTAGAAGACTACTTATGAGAGAGAAAGATTCCATGCTTAATTGTTAGCAAACTCATCTTCTAATACCCCAAAGCACTACATATGAGAGAGATAATTTACAATGACAATACTAACATTTATGAAATTTGATTTTTTTAAAAAAATTAGAGAAATAATGAAAACATTAATAAACCTTCATATATTTTTTAAATTTTATATATTGAATATTGATGTCATATGAAAGATTGTTAAAAATAATGAATTTTGATATACTTTTTATATCATGAATTATTTTCTTTATTTAATACGGAACATTCTGTATTGAGGTTGGAAAATAGGAAGATTGTTTAATAATCCTTTCTTAAATTTTATATATCCAATATTGGTGTCATATGAAAGATCGTAAAAAATTATGGATTTTGATATAGTTTTTTTATAAAAAATTAGATAAATGCTAAAAAAGTTATAACACTTGTAAAAAATCTAATACATATTTTCTAATGGGGATACTCTAATATCCTAATAAGCCTAGCATCATCAAAATCTAAATACAATTATTCTTTACAAATTTGATATATGCATTATTGATGTCATATGAAAGATCGTAAAAAATTATGAATTTTGATATATGTTTTATAAAAATCAGAGAAAACCTGAAAAAGTTATCACACTTTAAAGAAAATAGATTTTTTTATACAATGAGCCCCATTAAATAATTGATGATCCCACGTTTTTTGTTCAAATAGGAATTCAAATAGAAAGCCATGTGAGTTAGTTTTGGTGAGTTAGTTTAGAAAGCCATGTGTCATTTTTATAGGAAATGAGCAAATTGTGGAGAGATGGAGATTCATTAATGGTATAATTGTATTTTAATGATCTATTTCTTTTCTTATATATAAATAGACTCCAGATGATAAACTTTGAAATTTTACATTATTTGTATTCTTATTTCCAAAATTTTCCCTAGATTAAACTCCAAACTAAATATTTGGATCGAAGTCAAGTGAATGCTGTAATATTGAAAAGAAATGAATCATAATTTTTTGTATAAATTTCTAAAGCTATTACTTCCACCGTTCCAAAAAATACTTCTCACTTTCCGTTTTTAGACAATTTGTGTGACTCACATTCATTTTACCTTTATTCTTACCCAACTTGAACCATACATTTCTATTTTATTCCACTTTCTTAATAAGTGTGTCAAGTCAAACCGGAAAGTATTTTTTGGGACGAGACTCGAACCGGACAATAATCATCTTCCCGAAATGAGGGAGTTTTAACGGCCCACGGGGATTGAAGCTATTACTATGGGTAGACAAAAGCTTAAAAAGAAGTAATTTAGCTTTCTCTTTTGTTATTCTGCGTGATACTTACCTGGACTAAGCTAGATTCTTGACCAGCTAAAAAAGAACAAATTGGAAAGGGATGGTTTGAATGAATAATCAAAGCTGTAGTCCGTAGTATATTTGGATGCAGGTAATTAAAGTTGGTCAAAAGCTATATCGGATTGCATTTTCGTGGACTGCCCATTTGTCCTTTTACTGTGTTATTCAAACTAAAGCTAATATGAAGAATTTTATTCCAAGAAATAAATAAAAGATATTCCGTATGTAGTATGAGAAAGAAGTCTCTGTTTACACAATTTGCATTAGTTGTCCACATAGGCAATAGCCCTAGCAACAACAATGAATCAGGTACAATTTTTTTGTTCATTTACAAAATTTCAGATAAGTTTTTACACATAAAATATAAACTTCTTTCAAATTTAGAGCAGGGCTTGCAGGCCCTTACCTTCTCCCCTACTTGTCCCAAAAGTTTATTCAACCATTTTTTCATCTATTTGTAATTTTGTGTTAACAAATTCTCCCATAGCTTATTAAAGCGACCGTCTCTAGGGTTTCCTACTAGTTTTCCGGCGGTGATCGGCAGATCACAACGTCCAGCGTTTCTTTCTGTCTAGGTCATGAGCATTGCAAGTTGGAACTGCAGGAGCCTCGGTAATGCAGCCACGATTCAGGGGCTGGCGGAAATTGTGCACGTACAGCCGTAGACCTTCGTTTTTTTATGGAGATGAAAGTTTGGTGTCAAAGGGCGAAAGGGTTTTCACCAGAGTGTTGAGATGGATAGTGAAGGAGTAAGCAGAGGTTTAGTGATGGACTGGAATGACGATGCAGTGGTTAACATTAATACTGTGCACCAAAATTATGTGGATTGTATGGTGGGTGCGACGAACGGCGATCCAGGATGGAGGCTCACGTGCTATTATGCATACCCTGAAATGAGAAGAAGAAGAAGAGAGGCCTGGGAGATGCTACGAGGGTTGGCGGAAAATAACTCTCTCCCGTGGATGGTTATTGGAGACTTAAATGACATTCTATATGTCAGACAAGAAGGGTAGGAATCCCCATCCGGGGTGACGGCTTCGAGGGTTTCCCGAGTCTGTCTTCGGTGGCGGTCTGAGGGACTTCCCGTTTGAAGGCTATCAATGGACCTGGGATAGAGGAAAGGGCTCGGCGAACTGGGTTGAAGAAAAATTAGATCGTATTTGGTCAATGATGATTGGAGGAACAAGTTCATGGCAACCCGGGCTCAGTCAGTTGAAGCATCGACAAGTAATCACATGGCCCTATGGGTTAAGGTTAATCCGACGCTGCATGGGAGGAAACCAAGGAGGTTCCGGTTTGAAAATATGTGGCTCAAAGAAGATGAATGTCGGACGATGGTGGCTAATAGCTGGAGAGCAGGTACTCATTTGAGTTTTAGAGAAAGAATTGCTTTTTGTGGGGAGGAATTACTTAGGTGGGATAGCCGCAGGACTAAAGGTTTTGTCATCAAATCCAAGGGTGTAAGAAGAGATTGGCATGGCTTCAAGGAAGGGATGATCCGGACAGTTTGGCTGAATTTATGCGACTCAAAGCAGTGATCCAATCTCTTTTGGAAAAAGAGAACCTTTATTGGAAGCAACGGGCGAAAGAGTTTTGGTTGAAAGATGGTGATATTAATTCCAAGTTCCTCCATAATGCTGTAAAGCAACGGATAAGGAAGAATAAATTAATGGGGTTGAGGATGGCAGATGGGTTATGGGTCACGAATTGAACAAAAATCAAAGAGGCGGTGCATAATTATTTTGAGAATATTTTTTTGCAGGGTGCGGAGGTCCTGGAAGATTCTATTTGTGGCAGTTTTACACAAGTTTCAGCAAGCCAGAACTCGGCTCTTCTGCGCGCAATCACAAAGGACGAAGTAAAAACTGCCATTTTTTATACGCATCCAGAGAAAGCCCCGAGGGCTGATGGGATGAATCCAACGTTTTTTGAGAAATTTTGAGATATTGTTGGCCCTGAAGTTACTAGTCTTTGCTCAGGTATTTTCGATACTGGAGTGCTTAGGGATCTAAATATTACTAATATTGTGTTAATCCCTAAGAAGGATAAACCTGAGAATATGGGTGACTGGAGACCGATAGCGTTGTGCAACATGATTTATATTTTTTTTCTAAAACTTTAGCTAATCGGTTAAAAGGCATACTTGGTGGTCTGGTGAGTGAGAACACAAGTGCTTTATTCATTTGAGATCAATAGTTGATAATACTATTGTTGCTTTTGAGACCCACCATTATTTGAAGAGGAAATCTTATGGGAAGGAGGGTTATGTGTCAATGAAGCTCGACATGAGCAATGTTGAGATATCGCCAGGGGATCCTTTGTCGCCATATTTATTCATTTTGGTGGCCGAGGGACTGAGTGCAATGTTGAGACAAGCTGAAATTCGAGGGACTATCCATATAGTGGTTGTCTGCAGAGGGGCTCCAAAGGTATCCCATTTACTGTTTGCTGATGATAGCTTTATGTTTTTCAAAGCTACATATGCCGAATGTGGGGAGAGAAAATAATTCTTCAGGGCTATGAGAGGAACTCGGGGCAGATGGTGAATTTTAATAAATCTTCATTAACATTCAGTTAAAATGTGGATAAGCTGTTTCGGGATCAGTGCTGCTATACATTGGGGATGGCGGACAAAGTAGGTATTTGGGACTACCGACGTTAGTGGGGAAGAACAAATCCGCCATCCTGGGTTACCTGCATGATAGAATATTTAGCAGAATTAAGGACTGAAATAATAGATTTTTGTCCAGAGTAGGGCGGGCGGTTCTTCTGAGGAATGTAGTTCAGGCTATGTGAAATTATGCCATGAATGTTTTTCTATTGCCAAAGGATTTGTGTGATGAGATTGAGAAATTTATAAATGGTTTTTGGTGGCGGGGATCTAACTGCGAAAGATGATTTACTACGTATAATTGAATTTATATATTATAGAGTAACATTTATAATATCTACATATTACATCCCATGCAACACACAAATGAACTACTAGTATTACTAAAAGAAAGAGAATTTCCCATCATATGATCAAAAAACTTGATTGACCAGAATATGACTAAAAATCATCACTTGTGGATAGCATAACTGAAAAATAAGAAAGAGGAACTTTCCATCTGATGTATGTGTAACGTGACTAGCAACTTATTCTCCCATCAAATTAGGTAAATAACTAAAAAGTGACTAGATCACAAAGATTGAAAAATACATAATCTTTCAATCATATGAGATAATTTTCTCTAATTATCTTATTACCGGAAAAAACTCAATCTGTTATTCCTAAAATATTAGGGCTAACACCTACGGAGTAGTTAATTTCTATAAGTCGAGACAACAATGCCGACTCTAAGTTTGATTTGTGAAGGTCTGAAGAAATAGCTGGAGTGGAATCACTCCACCACATAGCCTCATAGGATAAGGAATCATATACATAGAATGATAGAATAGATAGTATTCACACAAGTTTGCTTGAAAACAATTGTTGACATAAAAATTTATTGGATCAATTGTGATGATTATTGGACCTCTTTAAAATCTACCACACTATTCTCAACCATTTTGGTCTCTTTTGAATGATATTGAGCCAATGTCGATATTAGTGGGCTGCTCGTGATGGTTGTGGGGCCTTATAAAAATATTAACATGGGTCCATTCGGATGAAATTTAATAATTGAATTAATTCGGATCATTAAAAATATTCAATTAATTTAATTATAAATTAAATCTTTAAAAGAATGGACCGGTTCTATTACTTTCTTTATCTTGAGCCCATTAATAAATAATGGCCCAATAAATAAGAGACATAAACCCTAAGGCCTATTTTCACCCCTTCACACCAATAAATAGGGATCTCAATTGAGAGGAAGATGATAGAACTTCCAGACGAAGAAACGCTGCAGAAAAGCTCTGAAGAACTCCCGAGAGGCTGTGAATGATTCCAAAGAAGAGAAAGTGATCAAGCCACAAATTTTATTAAGAATATACGAATAATCCTTTGTGATTTCGTTCAATCTTGACAAAATAAATCAAAAAGTTGAAGAACGTTCGAAGATCTGAAGAACGAAACTCGAATATTCGAAGATCTGAAGAACAATGCTTTGAAGATTCAAAGATATTGTAACCTCCCGGCCCCGCAGGACCCTAGGTATTTACTTCTGATCTCTAGTACTGTTCTCACAAATCACCAGTAGCCTTTTACACACACTTTGTGCTCACTCGTGCATGACCTGAGAAACTTCACAGGGGGTCACCCATCCCAAGACTACTCCCGTGCAAGCACGCTTAATTTGGAGTTCTTAGGCGATGAGCTTCCTTAAAAGAAGATGCAGCTCTGTTGGTATGAGTAGTACTATTAATCCATTTAAGTTAAATCTCAAGTATTACAAGATATGAAGAACAAATCTTTGAAGATTTGAGGATATTCATATAAATATTGAATCAAATATCAATTGAAGATCAAACATACATCCCGGGAAACCCTAAAACAGAAAATCAAGTCATAAAACGGCTATTTTGTTGAAGATCAAGCTACTTGAAAACATGATGCTCTACAAGTAGGAATGTAGGATAGACGTGTCAACAGTGGCGGACCTGGTGCTGTTCAAGGGTATTCACTCGAACACCCTAAATTTTCAAAAACCAATAACTAGAACTAGGATGTTTGCTGCATTTTGATAAAGTATTTGCGTCGTTTTGAAGATTGGCCCCTGAGACTACCAATTCAGTCCGTGTCAAAAAACAATTGCCCAAATCCTCACACGTATTCGAGTGCCGCTGCAAATATTTCAATCTTTTCACCCTAATTTAGCAATCTATGCTCCAAATATCTACCCTAACCCGAGTGTGTGAAGTAGACGATGAATGGAAGAACAATGCTTGAGTTTAGGATCTGTGGTAATCGAACAAGTGGTCAACTCACCGACTCAATTCGTCATGTTGGACATTAGCATAAAGAAAAACATCTTTAAATCTTATTCTGTGTGAGCTGTCTTTTTTGGAGCAGAGTGGTTAAATAGCCGCATCATTTTAGATCTTTTTAAAAATAGTAGAAAAGGAAAACCGTGTACTAATTTATTTTATTGACAAATTAGTACTTTTTTATTAGAAAAATGGTGCTATAATTTATTAGCCGTTTTGTAGTTTTTATTGAAAATGATGCATTGGGATAATTCTTGCATAAATTAATACTATCATTTGAAAAATAATTTTAATGTTAGTTTGAACACTCAAAATATATGGGCTAGATCCGCCACTGCGTGTCAACTAGGTGAACCATGTCAATGGCAATCGACAATTAGAAAATTAAATATAAAATATATTGTAATTATAAACGTAGTACCATCTCCGTCCCACTTTATGTGTTTTGTTTTGATTTAGCATAAATATTAATAAAATGGTTGAAAAAAATAAAAATTTATGGTTGAGATTTGAGTATAGTGAGGTGAATGCTCTAGGTCACATATTTCAAAAGAAACATGAAACTTATTTTGAGACAACCCAAAAAGAAAGTAAGGCATGTAAGATGGCTCGGGAAATATAATTTCAAATGTGTAAGGTTAAAAAGAATTTTCATTAGTAATCTAAAAATAATCATTATACAAATTGAAATACAAAATAATATACCAAAAATAGACTTAACACAAAATCTAAAACGTATTTGAAATTAGATGGACATATAGGAATGTAATGCATATAATAATATCTTAAAAGAGATTGTCTAACGTATTTGAGACATTTTTCGAATAATTCATAAAAGCTTTATTGGTAAAAAAATTAAAAAATAGCTCTATGAATAACAATTACGACAATAACGATCGATCATAATTTATATATCAGCTTATACGATCGATCATAATTTATACAAGTATATCGCTTATATTTCTTCAAAAAAAAAAAAATCAGTTTATATCAACATCCGAGTGAAATGTAAACCGGGCTCATTGACCGGGCTAGCCGCCAACAAAAGAAAGCGACGTCGTCGAGTTAACTAATATTCTACCGGTATGGGTCATAGACAATCGAATTTTTCTCTGCATCTTCACAATTTCTTCTCCGTCGCGACAGTGCGGCAGTCACCACCAGCGATCTCTAAGCTCTGGGCCACTTTGTGAGTTTGTGCTCGTCCAACACGCAATGTCATGGCTGGCTCGATCCATCGCCAACACCCTCAAGCTCGATAGCGATGACGACGAAGAAGAAAACGACCACCTTTCTGCTTCCATGCGCGATCACTCTACTGACACTTCAAACGAAGAATCGATTCCAGAGAATCAACAATCGGATGATCCTTCGTCTCCCGTATCTCCGTCACGTGGCGTCAGAGAGGATCTGTCGGAGATCACCAAAACCCTAAGCCGTCAGTTTTGGGGCGTCGCGTCATTTCTAGCACCGCCGCCACAATCAGTGCCAGGCGAGTCACTCAACGAATACCAATCGAATACTCGCGGAGAACAGGATCCGGATGAGGAAAGATCTGAAACTGTGGGGCCGGTTGGAATTAGGAATGACTTCGCAGAGCTCGGAGGGAAGTTCCGAAGTGGGATATCTAAGCTGTCAAGCAACATGACTGTATCAGAGTTCACGAAGATAGCGTCAAATATTCTTCAGCTGGGATCAGACGAGGAGGAGGATGGCAGTTTCAGGAAAGGTGCTGTCGGAGTTACTGAGGAGGTGGTGATATTTGCAAGGGACATTGCTATGCATCCTGAGACATGGTTAGACTTTCCTTTACTTGAGAATGAAGAAGATGAAGGTTAGTTTTTGTTTTTGACGGTACAATTGATGAAATAGTAAATTAGTAAACATGATTTTGGTGTCGATTTGAATGTTTTGGTCCTATACTTAAATGCAGAAGGGAATATTCAGCACAGTACCGTGCATAGTTATAGGCAAAAGAGAATTAAAAGAGAGAAGCTTTATTTGTGTGGAACATTTGATGGATGTTAGAAGTCTATTTCCAGGACGGTTAGGAATAATTTGTGCCATACTGTAGGTCAAAAACTATCTTAAAAAAAATTCGTTCCTCTATTATACGGAGTAATGAGTATGATGTAATATTTCAAAAATCATAATGATATGCAGGTTAAACAATACCCCATTCTTCATCATCTTAATTCTCATTTAAAGAACAAGTTGTTCCTAATATTCAAATTGGGTTATTATCAAGCAGAGTTTAGATTCAACCGTTTAACTCTGTAACAATATTCTTTTGGAAGATTGTAGAATAATTAGTGAGTTATCCATGTCCATAATATATAAAGCTCAAAGCTGAAGGAGTACGAAATTGGACTTGTTTGGTAATTGCGGTTCCACTAACAATTTCAAGAACATGTTTGGCACATAGTGTTTGGTTTAACGCTTCAACCTTAAAACGCTTAATTTGAAAAGGATTAAGTAATAGGGGAACGTTTTTGAGTTAACAGATTCTATATTATTTATATTTTAATTCAAATTTTCACTTCATATTCTGGCAGCGGATATGTGTGTGTGTGTGTGTGTATATATATATATATATATATAAAAGATCATGTGAGAAGTGCCTCTTAAAATTAAAAGTGAGAACTAATGTCAGCCATTGGATTTGCATCTAATCTTACAACAGCAGTAAACTTATAGACTGAATATAGGAACTTATAATCTAAAGCTCTCCATAATAATTACGAAAATGCCACCGCGTCAAAAAATTTTCATGGTTTCCTGACTTATTTTTTTGCGGTGGCATTTTCGTAATTATTTTCGAGGGGTCTATAAGTTATGAGTTTTTGGTTAGAAGTTCCTATATTTAGTCTATAAGTTTAACTTCACAGTTTTCAGCCTAAGAGCACTTCTCACCTGATCCGCTCTCTCTATACATCTTCTCCATATCAAATCACTGCGTGAGTGGTAAGAATTGGCCCTGGCAAGTTTTGTGAACTCTTTTGGGTTTCATATTATTGAAGAATGGTGCAACCTCCTTTAACCCTTTTAAGAGGAAAATATCTTTTTACACTTCATTTTGATTTAATGATTTGAATTTATCTTTTAATATTAAATATTTCCACTCTGCAAATTGTTTATAATTCTGGCAATAGAATTGTATTTATTCTAGACTTAAGGATGTAGACTCTCTCCCAATTGGCTTGTATTTTTCTAGAGTTAAGGATGTAGACTCTCTCAATTGGCTAATTCTCTTTGAAAACTTATTTAATCATGATAGACTTTGACATGTCCAATGCTCAACAAGATCATGCTCTAGCGGTTGAACATCTTGCACCAAGATTAGCTGCTCTGAGGATTGAACTTTGCCCAGTTCATATGAGTGAGACTCACTTTTGGAAGATATACTTCATACTTGTTCAACCTAGATTGGATAAAGATGATGCTCAACTTCTATTAACACCCCAAGTAAGGATCTTTATGGTGGCTCCGCTTTCATCTTCTTATTATTCTGGTTTTATTATAGATTGGTGTATTGAAGTATACATAATATTTGGATTTACATTGGCGTGACAAGTAAATATTAATTGGTTCATGAAGATTTACTTAAATTCTTCCTACCATCTGAAACATTTTTGAATAAAAATATTGGACTAAATGTCCTAATAATTGATGGATTGAGATTTTATGTCTGAAATTGTAAATATACTATTTGGTCTCAGATTGCAAAAGCTCGGGCCTCTTTGGGTCAGGTGTTACGTAAGCGAACAAAGGAAAGTCAACTAGATCAAACCAATGAAATTTCAAACGAGGAGTTTTTATATGTGCCACCGGGCATTGCTCCTGAAAAATCAGTCCAAGTGATAGCTGGTCTGGAATCAACCTCCTCTTCTGCTGCCTTATCAAACTCTGATGCAGAGAAACATCCTGTGGCTAAAGATGGCAATGGAAATGAAGCTAAAGTCAGAACTCTTCCTTCTACAAACCTTAACATCGGAAATGAAGGAGAAGACGACGATGCTGATGATTGGCTAAAGGAAGAGACCTCAGAAATACAAACCGGTGCTAAAACCACAATTCATATAGAGAACGAGGATGACGTGTCATTTAGTGACCTCGAAGATGAGGATGATAATGACATGGCCATTAGCTACAAGAAAGAAAGGAATGGTTCTCATAAAGAGTCACCAGACTGGGTTCAATTGAAGAAGAGTTCTGATGGTGATGGTAATTCTGTCAATGTTGAGAAGGTAAGTGTGAGAGCTATTGAAAACAAGGAATCTAATGATTGGCTTGATGTTGATGACATTGAAGTGGCATGAAACTGATATATATTGTGCGTGATTCTTCATTTTTTTAATCTCCTTTCATGTTGTGTGAATATACCTTATCTCGGTTCCCTTTTTTGCAATCTGCGTCAGTTCCTGGCTTGTTTAAAGAAATGTTGTAAATCATGTGAGAAATAAGAAATGTTTATGCTATTGCTAAATGATAAGGATGGTACATGTGGTTGTTAACCGGTTGGTGAATTCAAAACAACACAGAAGTCCTTTGTTAATTCATAACTTAGACCTTGTTTTTTTATCATGATCGTAAAGAGTTTACAACACAAACCATTAGGATGCTTTTGCTCAACTTGGATACCGGAACCTGAAATTACCTCATGTTGGTGATTTTAGTATCACCAGGTTCATTTTAGTGTAATGGAATTTACAGATTATCAATGGAGTTCAAGTTTAATTTTAGACAAGTTAGGAGGTGCGGAGTGCACACTTGTACGAAATTAAATTTAAACTTGGTTCGATTAAATGGCGGGGGTCAAGGGGGCTGCGCCCCCTTGCGGGGTCCAAGGGGCAGCGCCCCTGGCGGGGTCTATTAAAGAAATAAATATGGAAATTTATTTTCGGATAAAAATGTCCATATTAATTATTTAATAGAATGACTTTCTGTTAGAGTAAAACTCTAACCGATTGGCCTTATCTCTTTGGTAATCAGAAGAATTCGAGTTCTACTAAAACTGCTAGCTCGTGGTCTATATATTGGTGCCTCAGTTTTAGACTGTCTCTCAGAGTGATTATCCCCATAATCTAAATTTCGTGTAACCTAGGCATAGGGTCGAAATATTAGATTCGGAAAGTGATCACACGATACTCTGAGAAATCCGCCAGATTTTCTAAAACAGTTTCCCAACTCTCCAGAATTAACACCTCATGTATTACGTATTTGCTATATACTCCATCTGTAACATTTCAAGGTTCTCTGACACATTACACTGCTCGCACAATCAACTTATTTTTTTTGCATACGTAGAATTTAATTTTATTTATTTAATACTAGTATGTTTTAGTCTAATTTTATGATTTAGTAGAATTTACATTGTAATTTTTAACATGTAAATTTGTTCATAAAAAATGATATGGAGTATTACTCTGTATTTTTTCCCACGGTTGCTTATACTTGGTATCAACAATTCATGGTAAAACACACAAAAAGTTTGATATGGAGAGGTGGGTACTTTTTTGCATAAAGTCGCAATACTAAAAAATAATGCTAATACGATCTTTCAATATGTAAGTGACTAATGTGGTTGTAATTTTACAATGTTACTAAATATTTCTTCATGGAGTGGTCATGCCAACCCAAGATAATGCGAGGTTTCATTATTAAAATGTTCTCTCAGAATCCATGCAAGTAAAAGGTTCTTATGGCGCTCAAAGGCGTAAAATGGGATGTAGTAGAGTTTGGGATGGCAATAGGTCAAGGCGTCAAGCAGCCTAAGGATCTCTAGCTCGTTCTATTTTAGGTCTGGACTAAAGTACGAAGTTTCTCTATCCCTTTGAAAGTGAGAATTTTCTTTTGAAAAAAAAAGGATGACACCCCATCCTTGAGGGCCCTCATCATCGGTCGAACAGTTATATGAGAGGATGTAAATTGGATTTAATCACAAGTTGACAGATAGAGAGAGGGGCTCTGACCCTTGTACTTGCAGATACCCTGTGCATTTTAGCATAGTAATCTCTCGTCGCAGTTGTCGGGATTCGAATCTGAGACTTATCTCTGGTGGCACTCCCTATCTACCAGTTGAGCTACGCCCACCGGTTAGAATTTTCTTTTGGAAAGTATGCTCAAGGTATTTACTTGTGGCAGACAAATGGAGGGTGGAATGACATTCGATTTGCGTGATGTTAAACGAGGGGGAGGAAACTCCACCTAATGTTTTTGTTGTTGTACAATTTTTTTTTGGAAGAAGGAGGCTTAAATTGATATCACAACATCCAGATAGGGAGTAAACAGACAAAAGGAGTGCAACTAACCGCCAGCCCTCGAACCAGACTTAGAGCCAATCACCTTCAAAGAAACAATATGACTCGATGATCCTGTGATGCCATAAATGAGTCAAAGATGGTCAAATCAGATCTCTCATCACTCAATCCTAACGCAAGAGTCTTAGGACAATAGAAATAAAGAACGACATGCAATTCGAAATAAAAACACAAACAAAGTAAAACACAATTAAAATAGAGTTCACACGTTTTCTTTCAAACGCTAGATTCTCCAGCACTCTATAGTGACTATTGAAAAGGGGGATGAGCCAACATACTATAACTTCTTCCTCACACTGCCTCTTATTCATCTTGTTCTCAGCCAAGCCTCCACTTTCACCATCAATCACAAATGACCTTGAATCCAAATCTGTTCCAGCTTTTAACCCAAGCTTCGCCCATGACCTTCATCGTTGTAGGTTAAAACTCCAAACCGAAGAACTGCCCAATCGATCAGATTGATGGAAGAGTTAAAACCCTAACTAGAGGGAGAAACGACCGCTATAATTTTTGTTGTTGTCCAATTGTGCAGCACTTATGGGGAAATGATGGAGTTTTATGTTAGGAAGGATTTTCTTCATTGGAGTGGAGCTTTTGGCCAAGGATATAGAATGCTGGAAATCAGCGCATTTGGAAGGGAGTAGGATGGACAGTAGACCATGCATGGGTGATCTTTTATTGAAGACGCATCAATGCCTGGGGAAGGATCAGTAACAACAGAGGAAGTTGAAAGTTGAAACGTTGGGTCTTAGAGAAGCTCTAAGACGGTTATTACATGAATAGGTTGGGGATTTGTGGATGTCGAATTCGACCCTTTTCAACTTATAGCTCGCCTTCTAAAAGGAAGTGACTCCTCAACTTAATGGTCCATTTTGCTGGACATAAAAACTTTAGAGATTAGTTTAGCTTTTGTTTGGCGATCTTCCAATTAGGTTTCTCATTCTCTACTATAGGAGGAATTGATGTTTTATTCTCAAAATAGGATCAAAACATAGTAAAAAAATTCCAAAAGAGGAATTGATGTTTTATTCTCTAAATATGACTAAACATTACCATTATGCCTTTAATATAACTAAAAGCCCCAATCCACCATCGGCTATTGAAGAGTAGCTATAGAGCATCTCTCCTATGTGAGAGTTCTGCGCTATTTTTTCCTCCGCCTTGCTTCTCTGGTCGCATCCGTCCTCGAAGGCTTCTCAAACTTTGTCGGGTTTATCTCCATTTCCGCTGCCTCAGCTCTCTGGTTTTCCATTGTTGTCGCCTCTCTTCGTCGATTTTTCATATCAGGTAATTGATTCATCTTCTTCCCCGTCTCCCTCCCCCCTTCTCCCTTCTCCCTTCTCCCTTTTCCCTTCTCCCTTCTCTTCTTCTAGTTTTTATCTACTCTTCTATTTTCAATTTTTTGTTTTGTTATTAAAAATTAAAATAGATGAAGTGTAACACCGTCCCCAAATGTATTTATCTTTAAGATAATAATTTATTGAACCCTATGAAGTATTTAGTGAACTTACGAAGTTGTGAATTTGTATTGATTTTTTCGCGTGAATAGTAAAATGCACGTGGGGCCCACATCGGGAGTGGGGACCGCCCGATATTATCGGGGCCACACATTATATTGAACTTGGACTAGATAATATGTATATGGTGGTGGATACCCAAATTGAGCCATGACAATGGCATAGGGTTGACCGGTTGGTCAAACGGGGCCAAATTATCAGTATCGGCAACCTATCAGATAACAGCCCGAAAAGGGATTTCGGAGACTTCTAAATTAAAGTGAGGGATGCATATTGATTCTAAGGTCCATTAAGAATTGGGAACAAGTGTTATATTTTATTTGACCCGATAAAATAAAATATACTTAAAACAGTCTGATAGATTATATCTAGAGAGAAGTGAGAGCTAGAGAGAGAAGTGCAATAATATGCTTCAATAGAATGATTTCGTCACCCCTATAACTACTCCCAAGGGGAGTATTTATAGAGAAAATTAGGGTTGGGCTCCCAAGTCTTGGGCTTGGGAGGCCCATCTACAACTGGACCGCTACTGGGCCGAATACAAAGCCACTAATGGGCTGTACAAATGAGTAAGTATAAAATCTGATTCTGGGAGGTCTTCTTGGCCGACGAGGGCGCGGCCGACGAGGGCACGGCCGACGAGGGCACGGCCGACGCGGGCACCCTGGTTCCTTGGGCTCAGGGCCATAATCCGAGTTGGCCCCTTTTCGGCCGACGGGGGCGTCTTGGCCGACGAAGGCGCCATTCTGTTGTCTTGAGCTTTCTGTTCTTCCGAGTATGTGGGTCCGGGGGCTCAGACCCATATACTCCATCAGGAGTCCCCCACTCTCTAAGCTGAGATGTAGACGAAGCGAAGGAGAGTAGATTCATGTGCTTTGTTGCCCTTGGCCGTTAGCCGATGCGGCGTTGGCGTTGTTTCCTCTTTGGTGATCCTGTTCTGTGCTTTGGCCGTTACCTGTTCCTCGCTGTGGGCGGGGAGGCCGTTGTTCACTTGATGTCTTCGTTTTGGGACGATGAGTGTCCTTCTTTCAATGGTGGCCGTTGAAGGCGTGTTTTTCTTGGACGCTGATGATTGAAGTTTGTGTTTGGGCCGATGAGGCCACTGCAGTTGGTCCTTGCTTCGAGGACGATGGCGTCTTTCCCTTTGGATGGCCGATGAGGGTGATTGCGCACTCCTTTTGGCCGTCGTTGATTAGCTTTCATGTTTCTGGCCGAAGAGTCCCTTGTGATTAAGTGATGGCGAAGGACGATGAGTGTCCTTGTCTCTGGTGGCTTGTTGGCCGTCGCTAATGACGTTATGGGATTTTGGCCGATGAAGCTCCGTTGTGCTGTATGGATGATGTGGCCATGCTTTGTGGTCACATTCATGTTCTTTGTAGTGTTTCCTTTGTGCTTTGCTGAGGCCGGTGTAGTCCCCCAGTCCCCCACTGCTTCAGGCCGAGGAGCGTGAGGGGTGAAGGAGTTGCTTGAGTCCCTGGCCGAAGCGGCCTCTCCGTAGTCCCCCTGAATCCAACTCTCATGGCGATTTTCTGGCCAAGGTAACCCTGTGGGAGAACCCTTGTGCGCAGATCGCTTGTAGAGAGTTATCATCAAAGGTTAGTACGAGGAGCCGATGGCTGTGGGCTTCTTTGTTCCTTTTGTTCTGTGGCCGTTATGGGTGTTTGTTACGTTCCTGGCCGTTGCCGTCGCCTTGTTGTTTGGCAGTTGTGATCTTGGCGAGC